CCTTGAGATACGAGTTCTAAGGTCTAAGTATAGTTACAACGGCTGCCCCATCCTTCAAACCGAAACGCATTAGTGCTTCACGGCAGAAATAGGCAGGGCAGTGATACCTAACCTTGTGGACTCACAAGAGGTCCTACCCCCAGTAATTATTAATAATAATAAATTATAATTTTGCGGGTTTGATTTGATAGGTAGTGCCACCGCCCTGCCTGTTTATATCATGAAGCAGTAATACGTTTCGGCTTAAAAGACAGGGTACCCGTTTTCCTGTAAAACTGGGACCAAGAACTTATGATTCAAGATAGGTCAACATTAAGCGGGAGAGCAATAATTCTTCGCGGCAGATGTGAACAGAATATTATGCGTTATAAAATACACCCTACCACTAGTAAAGTTAATTAATCTATAATAATAGTAATCTATACTAATATTATAAAGAGGAAAGATTTGTTTGTTTGTTTGTATTGAATAGACTCCGAAACTACTGAACCGATTTGAAAAATTATTTCACTGTTTGAAAGCTACACTATTCCCGAGCGACATAGGCTATATAATCTTTTTTTTTTAAATTAGGGATCCTTATTAAAACTCCAATAATGTAACCCAAGGTGTAAAAAAATACCTAAAATATTCTTTACATCGCGTGCGCGTTAAAATAAAACAACGTCAAAAATCGTTGAAATTTTAGTTAAAGATCCGAGCGGAGCCGGAGCGGGCATCTTGTAGAAGATAAATATATTAACCAATATACGCAATAAAGACGTCACAATAACACGAAGGAAACTATTAATCGGATAACACAAATTCAGGTTGAAATGGAACGTCTAAATGGAAACATCAAATATTTTCCACTAGTAATTGACATAAAGTCAATCGCCGACCACCGCCTAAGTTTACTTTGCCCTACACAAACCAATTTATTTAACAAAGCAATATGTGCATAACTGTGCTTGCTTATAAGGTTAGCTTGGATTAAAACTAGTCGAGTGAATGCATATACAGAGTGAGAAATTTACTAAGTACGCCTTCAATATCTGAACATTTTAAACAAATTTGAATTTGATGTGACTGTAATATGGATGCATATTACAGTCACATCATCGGTATCGCTATGTCTGTTATATGTTTAAATACGAATATTTATGTGTACTATCGTGAAGCTTATGGATACTGAAATGGATGGATATGGATTCTTAAAGTACAACTTGAAGTTAGTAAATAAATCCGAACTTTATTAAATGCTAGTTAAACCTGCGGTGTGACTATCTTTGATTGTATAAAAACACTAGATGTACCCGTCCGCTTCGCTAGGCATTTAAAATAGACGTTATTATTTCTCACCCCCACAAAGATTCTCATCTTTAACGCCCCCGCAACTGGTGTAGGGAGTCCAACACTCATATAAATATTAGCAGTCCATTAAGTAAATGTATTTTCTATATGGATACCAAGCTTCAAGTCAATCAAATGCATGGTTCAGTATTTATAACGGAACATCCGTAAAAACCACTGTAGATTTATATATTAGTATAGATTAGTTCCTTAAAATTGTTGACAGTATCAAACTTTGTAACACTAGGCTATCACATTCTGAAGTTTCAACGACATCCAATCATGGCAGTAGTTTTTGCGTAAAGGGACACACATGGGTATGGGTAGAAACCACTATCCTACCAAAATCTCTAGCGCAAATAACGCGTCGTGCTCAAGTACCAGATAGTCATTATCCAATACGAACGAGATAAATGATAATATGAATATGTCTAAATAAACAAAACCCGAATTATTAATTTAGCAAACACAGTACCTCTATCGGATTAATTTGTTTGCTTTATGAAATTGACGAAGGTACGTGTCGAACCTCAAAATACATACACGCTAAATAATTTCGTTGGATTAGAAAGAGACCGACGATCACTAAGTAATCAAATTAACGTTCAACAACAAACACTAGAAATAAACTCGAAGATTCACTTAAATAGAATTAAACAAGCGAATCATCGTAACCGTGAGATTTCTCTACAAATTTTGATTTCACTAAAATTTGTTATGTTTACGCTCCGTGATGCACTATAGAAGACTTATGGTAGCGCTACTGTCAACAAGGCAGTGCACAGTGGGCCTAAATACAACTGACAACTTAAAATAATTGGTAGTACCGCCCTGCCTGTTGTCACAATCATGCCTTTTAGGCAGTATCGGAAATTATTTGAAACTGAGATTTCTACTTCGCGTCTTACTACTCTATACTACCTATGCATATCTGACCATTTACACTAATGACTATTAGAGCGACAGTCGTGCATTAGATTTCTACTTTGTATACTATTAATAGTAATAATACAGAAGATCTAAAATTTGAAGCCAGATGAGTCATTAACAGAACAACTAAAGGTAATTCCAAACAAATTGTGTTGTATATTCATTATTATTAAATTGGTAATTATCAAATTAAATCGACACGTAGTTTTTCTTCAATACCTTCCGACTGGAATAAAACGTGTTCACAGCTCAATTTATTATGAACTAGCGACCCACCCTCGCTTCGCTTCGGAAACTGTAATTTATTATTGATTTCTCCACTATTTAATGGATGTTATTATACATATAAACCTTCCTCTCCAATCACTCTATCTATTGAAAAAAACCGCATCAAAATCCGTTGTATAGTTTTAAAGATTGAAGCATACATAGGGATATAGGGACAGAGAAAGCGACTTTGTTTTATACTATGTAGTGATAATAATTATTAATTTATTTTCATGTTTTCCTGTGCTATGATATTTTACCAGTAGAGAAATACTTATTACATTTCCATGATTTATCACTACTGTATAAGTGTGCAATAATTGCTGGTGACACTAGAGATACTAAAGACGTTAAAACGTATTTTCACATGTCCCACTACATTTGTGAACGAAACCACAGTGCGTCGACGACATAGTAAACAAAAGTTGGCGAAAGCCTCCGGGCTTGCCTTCAACTTGTTTATTTACTAAGCGAATACTTTAAGCTAAACGAGCCAGTTTGTCGTAGTGACGGATACATTTAGTTAAATGCAAGCGCATTATTTATTTAAAGTTAAACACAACGTACTATGTTTAATTAAAGTACCCACAGCTTTAGTTTAAAAAGGGCCAAACTATTAATATTCAGAAATAACAAAATTTTAGTAAATTGAGGAACGTAACTAATTTTAAACTTAAAATAAGCGCAGACTAAATATTAAAATGAAATACTGATTATCATAAATTTTGAATTCGTAATTCAGATTCAAACAGAATAAAAATACAAAACTAATAATCACATAGACTAATAATATAACTTTATTATTCTCTGAAACTGTTTGTTACTTAATGGAATAAATAACAAAAGTACGTGAGGAACTTCTAGCTTCTACCGCTGAGTCGTCGAAAAGCATTCGATTGAAATTAATTATTTTAGGTACCAAAATCTTTGAGATGTCTTTTTACCAATTTTTATGAAATTTTCTTTAATAGCAGTTCAGTAGTAGTAGATCTTTACTAACAACTAAATAAATAAATAAACCGTAAAATGTTTTTCTGCTCGTTACAAAGGTTGGTGTGCCTCTCCTCCTCCTTGCGTCGATAATTCTCAGTGCTGAGGGTCGTGGCCTCCTCTAATCACTTTCTCCTGCATCATCTTGCGCCATTCCTGCCTGTCCTCGGCTGTGTGGATAGCAACGTGGACTGAGGTATTGAGGTATTGAGAGTGGAGCGTATTTGGTCCGACCAGCGCATTGGATTTCTGCCTCTGTGCAGAATGAATAATAATAATAATTAGCTGTTAATACATTTTACCTAAAGTGTGCAAAATGTATTAACAGCTTATTATTATTATTAACAGCTTCCGTGAACATCAAAACGATACGACCGGGATCTAGTAGATATACTCAGATATTCACCCGGCAACCTGGTATCGAGCGACACAACTAGGCCGTTGTTCGTATAGTGTGAAGCACGTACCAATTTCTATAAATAGGTCATTACGCGCCTAATAAAATTTCATTAATGACTTCTATGCCGTGCAAAAAAATATCGTATAACAAAAGCCGACCTCCGAAATTAATAATATCTATATTTTAATACGTGAAGCAAAACCTTTGCACCCCTTTTTACGAAAATTGCGTTGACGGAGGAGTGTGAAATTTCCCAAACCTATAGAGAATATAGAGAAGGACGGGAGAATGTTAATATATTTTTTAATTATGCATAAAAAATTTATTAAATCAATAGATAAAAAACATTACATACAGTCCCGTGTATTTGACACACACACGTATGCATATTATTTGCTTATTGTCAAACTTTTCTTATTGCTGTCTGTCTGCCTGTAGATAAATTGAGAATAGATTAAATATGTAAAGTTTGTCTTTATTAATATTTGTCTAAAGTGTAGTCTTTGCGAAATCTGTGATTATAGAAGTATAATAAATAGTCTTTGATAATAGAATCGTTATAGTGTACGAACTTATAATTTCAGTTATTTATAGTCGAATTTCGATTACCGGGGGACCACTAGTATATATAATAAGGACACATCCTGCTTATTTCTGTCTCGAAATAATCATGTTCTTAGGAGATACGGAGAAAGGCAGCGGTTTCTAATCTGTGGCGTCTAATTGTTCCATTAACCACTTAATACCAAGTTTGAATAATACTGTAAAATAAAATTCTCACGGTTCACTCTTCGGACTATTTCACACCTCCTACATTATGCATTAAGCGTTTACCTTAAACATCAATTCCATAGAATTTTCGCCATATTCTAATGCGATAGCAATCTACATAGTAATATCGCGTTGGTCATATTTCTGTGACGTTTTTTTTTTTTTCAAAACTTCTTAATATTCCTTTCAATTAGGTTAAGAAATTAAAATTGATTTTCTAAAGTCAAAGTGTAGTTTTATCATTAAACTAATTACAAAATTAATATTCTAAAAACGTTAAATAATTTAATCTCATGTTATTTGATTAATATTATAGAGATATCTCACCCGTCCTTGTGAAGACCATACCTGCAACAATAACGCATAAAAACAATTAGTAAATCAGTTGTATTACGTCACCTAAGCCGATAACAATAAATATCGGTGCCCCCACAGCATTGTTGGAAGTAAATCAAAGTGGGTGTTTGTTCTAATGTTAGGGCGCGCAGTCACGAACGGTGCGGGGCCGTGATTTCTTACAACTAAAACGGTGCAAGATAAAATATTTCATTTTATTCGTGTCTTCGTATGTATTGAAAGTTTATTTTTGAAGAAACATAATGTTCCGGTGAAATTATGCGTTTTAGGTCTCAAGTTTCACACATGAACACGTTTCTCATTACTCACAATGACACGGATGCCCAAAACACGTCATTACAGAATAGATCCTCCCGATCCATTAACGGTGCTTTTAGGTACCACAAGCATCAGTCACCCTCCTCGTCGAACCCGTCGCTTGCGACGAAGGGCTCGACGAGCAAATTAACCCATAGACACAGCCCACTGAGTTTCTCGCCGGATCTTCTTAGTGGGTCGCGTTTCCGATCTGGTGGTAGATTCTGCGAAGCACTGCTCTTGCTGGGGCCAGTGTTAGCAACACTCTTGTTTGAGCCCCGTGAGCTCACCTACATGTTAGGGTGCACAGCAAGGCTAAGACATAAGTGGGAAAAAGAAAGAAACGGATTAAGAATGAAGTTTTTTATGATAGAAATGTAATAGAAAAAAAAAATTAAAAAGCTTAACAACCAAAACAACACTCTTAAATAGCAAACCGAACTAGCAATTAGCTTCATATTTTTGTTAATCTTGTAGATGCTAGTCAGGATATTAGAGTGAAGCAAAGTTTTTAAGTTAACGGGATGTTTGGAGTCGATGAAAATAGCCTTTAAATATTCCGTTACATACACGCATACCAAACTAATAAAAGCGTCCTAAAATCACTTGAGCGCCTGCAAGACACCTTTCCATTTCATTTTGAATCCACGAAATATGATCAAAATTATTAAAAAAGAGAAGTTCATAGATATACACGTAAACTATGACAAGTTTTCCGCTTATTTTTCACCTTATGGTAGTACAGTCAGCAACAGAAGTGCAATGATATCTTAAGTCCTACAATCTGGCGAACACTTTAATCTATGTTAATAAAAATAAACTAGATGGCGTTAGTGGTTGTGTTAACTTTAACAGTGGTAGGTAGGCCGGCATTAATCTGGTAAAAACATATTTCTAAGGTGAATCATTAAAATATTGACACAATACATCCTACATATTTACTATTTTCGTGATAGTTGTGGCTATTTAAAAAATTAAAGTAATAGTGATTTTATATTTCGAGTACTTTACAATTCATTATGAGTCAATGACAATATAAAATGTAAAGAAAAAGTTTTTAAGGTGTGACTCAGGAGTGTTGAATCCAAATTTTGTCATAGAAAATTATTTTATAATATATTTACGGTAGGCAGCGACTTGGCTCTGCCACTGGCATTGCTAAGGTCCATGGGCGACGGTAACCACTCGCCTTCAGGTGGGCCGTACACGGGAAATAAAAATATTAATACGTATAATTTTTACGGTCAATGTTTTTTTTTGATAATTGACAATGTCAAAAGTAAAGTTGCCGTTCTCAAAGAAAGCTTTCGATTTTGTAAAATAATAGAACACCAATTAGAGGAATCCTGATGCATGTATTCTGTAACATCTCTAGACGATAGAAGGCGCTAATTGTGAGTCCATACGATTTTTCAGCCCACTATAACATACCCAATGTATGTAGTGCAAAACTGAGGTATCATAAAACGGCCGTCTGGTGTAGTGGTAAGTGACATGGTCACTACACAAGGGGGTCGCGGGTTCGAATCCCGCCAAGGGAAGATATTTGTATGATAAATATAAATGTCTTTCCAGGGTTATGGGTGTATATTAAATATATGTATGTGTATATTAAAAATATTATATTTATTTCCGTTATCTGGTAGGTACTTGTAACACAAGTTCTTTACGAACTTAGCACGGGACCAGTTAACGTGGCGTGATTGTTAGTAAATATTTATTTATTTATTTATAAAAAAATCTAATATTCCAGTCGTATCCTTTGTATTAATTACACTCAACCTCAGTCAGATATACAGAAAACGCGTTAACATTTTTATGAACAAAAATATTTCATGGTGATAATACAAAAATATATTTATAGATATGTAAAAATTTACTTACATGGAAGCTGTAATTCTAAAAATCAACATTCAACTTTTCGATCGCACAAAAAACCTGGGCTTTGACTCAACGTTTTTGATTCATTACGAACGTCAATATTCCTACTATAGTTGTGTTGTGTTGACAGTTGAAAACATTAATTATCCCACCTACACAGTTACGTAAGAGCATGTCTCTTAACTAATCATTAGACAACGATAAATAGAAAGCCATTCATTTGAAGCTAAGTACTATGCGTAAAATTCATTGCTTCTACGTTTCCGAAGACGAAAAGGAAATAAATGTACCTTAACAAGTAATATTCATTTGAAAATAACAAGAATACTAAAAGCGAAGGTGGACGCTCAAATTTCCACGAAACCAAAGATCATAATTTGTCTTACATTTCGTCTTATAATTATAATCGTTAAGGATTTTTTAACTTTCGAATATTTTAAATTCATATATTTTTTTAATGCAGTATGCCATACTTTCGGAACTTTTTTTTTCATCAGATCTAACAATGACTTCATAGACAAATCATTGCAATTCCTTGTGCAGTTTTCTGTAAAACATCGAAAGTAGTCGTATATAATGCCCGCTCGGGATATCACCTCCCCTTATTTTTGCCGTAAATTTAAAATGCTTTACTGCTTAATGTATCTCATCGTTGTTGTTTCCGTTAAATTGAGCATTCGACTTCATTTCTCAAAATGGGTCACGACAATCACGCTTATGTATATGTGAGCTGGAAAAGCAGTGATACTTAAAGTCGGTTATGCTATGAACTATGTTGGTCGTAAATACCAAAAAAGTATTTAGGAAAAAGCTAATACGACTATTAAAAATTTATAGCAGTTACGAGTTTTTTTTTTTTTCTTACTTGGGTGGACGGGCTCACAGCCCACCTGGTGTTAAGTGGTTACTGAAGCCCATAGACATCCACAACGTAAATGCTCCACTCACCTTGACATATAAGTTCTAAGGTCTCAAGTATAGTTACAGCGGCTGCCCCACCCTTCAAACCGAAACGCATTACTGCTTCACGGCAGAAATAGGCAGGGTGGTGGTACCCACCCGCGCGAATTTACAAGAGGTTCTAGCACCAGTAAAAAGGTCTCTGTTAACACTATTTAACCGTTGAGTTATTTTTTTAGAGTTTACCACATAAATATGAAGAGCCTTAACAAAAACACAACGCAGAATTTGTTCATTTCCTAATTAGACAGTTTAATGAATTCATCTCATTCTCGACAGGATTAAAAAGCTATCATTAGAAATTGTTCAGTCAAATAAAAAAGCATATACTTCATTATAATTTGTTCATTTTAATGTTGCGTAAATAGACGGTCTCACAGAAGGTTATTAATCACTCTCTCTCTCTCTGATGCATTAAGAATCCGGAAATATGTGGGCAGACGACAATCGTGTTTTGAACAAAGCGACGGAATGTCGGCCGAATCCTACCTGAGCACATTACAACACTAAATATGCCTCTAAATAATCATAGCACTCCTATCTATCTAGAAATATGGATCAAAATTGAATAACCGAGAAATAATGGATGTAAATATCTTAAATGATTTTAGACGAAAAAAGACGATCTTTTCTATTGTCAAGGATATAACTCGCTAATGTTAATAAAACAGGTGTAGTGTTTCTGTTTTTTGTACCGCTGTGTGCGGTGGTTCATTCAGATATTTTGGTAATTAAACGAGCCAAGTATCAGCGTCAGAACTTTAAATAATATACAAGCTTTCTCTCGATTTACGCAAACAATATCAAAGAATAAATGTACCACAGTGCATGGAAAGTATGGTAAAATTTTAATGTCGAAATGAACCTATGTATAATTATCGCCATCTGTTCTTAATGTGCTTGTACTAATTTGCAAAAGTATTATGTCGTGTAAATAATATGATTAATATTATTTAGCTATCATTTTTTTTACTATTTAGAATCGGTATTTCGGTAAAAACACAACCATATGAATGCCGAGTCGCTACCTACTGTGCTTGAAGCTGATAAAATCATCAAGGCTGTGCAGATTATTTTTATATACTTTTTAAAATGTCCTTGCAATTCTGCCGCTGAGCGTACGTGAATCTTCATTTTAATTGTAGGAATGGTGTCTGTTGTATTTATATTGAGTGATAAGGGGCTCAAATCGAAAAGCACATTTTTTTAAGGGAAATGCTTTCCTACCTTCGAGGAACTAACTGGATTTAATAATAAAAAAATGGTCCGCAAAGATTTTGAATTTATACAATTAGTACCACCCAGTCCGGCTCTTTATATGTAGAACGAAATTGAGACTTCGACATCAATTCTCAAAATGAGTAGGAGTGATGTCTACGGGCCTCAGTCAACAACTAACATCGTCTCCCCATGTAGATCAATGAGAGAAAAAACGTAAATACTGACATAACCAAAGACAGAGTAGAGCATCTTGTGAGCCTCATGTTGTAAGCATTTAGACTTTATGTCTTGAGACGGGTGGCAGCATTTACGTTGTTCATCTAAGGATGAAGATGATGAAGGATGATGATGACCCGTTTATATTACAACAACATAAATGCTGTGTATACTTCTATACTAATATTATAAAGAGGAAAGATTTGTTTGTTTGTTTGTATTGAATAGGCTCCGAAACTACTGAACCGATTTTAAAAATTCTTTCACTGTTTGGAAGCTACACTATTCACGAGTGACATAGGCTATAATCTTTTTTGGAAAAAATTAGGGATCCTTCATAACCCAGGGTGTAAAAAAAATACCTAAAATATTCTTTACATCGCGTGCTCTGCGAAAACTATTGATGATAGAATAAA